GTTTTGGAGATAAAACTGATGGTACTTGCTGAAGGATTAGGATATGAGGTGAAGATGAGGAGGTAAGTAAAAGAGAAGAACCAAGAACGATTCTTAGATTTTTGGCTTGTATGACTGAAGGAATGGCAGAGTCATTTACCATTTATAGAAATGGGGAAGACTGGGAGAGGGCAGGGAATTATAAGCCCTGTTTTGGCGATGTTAAAGTTTTTGAGACAAACATCAGGTTTCTAATTGAAGAAATTCAGTGTACATCTAGACATGAGGTTTTGGAGATGAGAGGAATAGTCCAGTTACAGACACAGGCAAATAAACAGTTGATCACCACTATCTGAAGATTCCATATTGGAAATTTGCTTACTCACTAAAATTTATTTCTAACCCCAAAATCAATACTTGTCATTCTTGGGCATGCACATAGCTGTGAAAAGATCTGAGTCATCCTACAAGCACATTCCCAGGCAATGCTCTGCCTTCTTGTTTCAGCTCTCATAAAAAATATAAAATAAACATAAAAAAAGAGAGACTAACTCTAGCTGGAGAGCTAGAGAAGGCTTTATAGTAAAGGCAGCAATGTAGCTGGGCCTTGAAGGATAGGTAGAAATTGGTAGAGATACAGAAAAAACAGGCCTTTTAGAAAAAAATAATATGAATAGAAAAAGGTAATATGAATAAAGAGACACTGACGTCTAGCTAATGGTAATGTCTTAGGGGTAATGGTATGAGATAAATCTAAGATGGGGTTAGATCATGAAAAGGCTTGAGTGCCATGTCACTGGATCTTATTCAGCAGGTGCTGAGGAACTACTGAAAAGATGTGAACTTGAAAGTCACATGATCAGAACTGGGCTTTAAAAGATTTAGCTGGCATGAGTGCGTAGAAAGGATTGGCAACAAAGGGACTGGAAACAGGAAAACCAGTTAGGATGCTTAGGACAGCCTAAGCAAAAGGTAATAAAGTCCAAAAGCAGGGCAGTGGCAGTGAAACTGGAAAAGAAGTAATGACTACAAAAGACACAGCATACTATTAGAATGATTTATTGGCTGTAGAAAGATGGACATTACAAAATTTTAGCCAGATGAGGCAAACACAGCCATTTTCCACTGTAAAAATAAAAAGGTGGCTCACATGGAATTTACTAGGCATGAAAAATAGGAGTATGTTGCATAAATACTTTGGTGGGACATCTTACTATATTATGCATTCAATAATTACTTATTGACTGCCAGCACCGTGCAAGGTTATACAGTAGCAAACAAGACAAAACACTACTCTTTTATTTACTGAGCTTATAGATATTAACAATCGCACTATGGCAAATCTTTATGAAAATTCCTAAACTAATATGAAAAAAACTTGTCCACTAAAATGAGTTTTCTTTGACGATGATCTTGGTTACCTGCTTCCAGTTGAAATTCAAAGCAACAATTGTTAAAAATCAGTTATCTGAGATCTTACATCCATCCATATCACTGCACAGATTAAGTCAAGCAAAAAATATTTACTGAGTGCCTATTTAACACTCACAATGAACTAGGTGTCATGAAAAATACATGTATGAAAACAATGATTTCCAAAAATGCCAAGAGCTAAGCCCAGTGAAAAGTGCTGCCCCCTTCATCACTCCCTTCACTTTTAACAGGGGAACAAACTGCAATTCATGCCCCCCAAAACTTATGGCAAGAAATTAGGGGATAAAAAGCAAACTGATATAAGAATTAAAAAAAAATGCTTATGAATAGATTTTAAAAAGCTAAACAACATCTATTCTACAAATAAAAGAAGGCAACTAGAAACAAATTTTGAAAATTCGAGTTGTAAAATTTGGAATGATTTAAGAGAAAACTAAAAAGGATGGACTGAAAGGACGAAAATAAAATATTTAAACAAATATGGAATGTCCTTTTAAAAAACTGCAGTAGTTGACATCACTGATTCCACTTGAATCAGAATTAAGTATATCTTAAAATGTTTATCAGAATGATGTAGTAATAAAAGATGGATCATAAGATTAAACATGACTCCATTTAGAAATCTCTCTTATACTATGGATCTTACGGCCCTATTGCAGGGAATGATTTTCAAACTCATAGGCAAGGGAGCTTGTTAAAAATGCAGATTCCCTGAACCCAGTTCCACAGATTCTGAATTTACAAGATATGTAGTAGGACTCAGGAATCTACACCATTTAACAAGCATTCGAAGTAACTCTATTGCAGGGACTTCCCTAGTGCTCCAGTGGTTAAGCCTCCATGCTTCGAATGCAGGGGACGCTGGTTGGATCCCTGGTCAGGGAACTAGGATCCCACAGGCCGTGTGGCACGACCAAAAAAACCCCCAAAGTAAGTCTATTGCAAGTAGTTAGGGTTAACACGCTGAGGAATCCTGCAGTGTTTTAACTCAACTAAGATCTTCAATTTATAAACAAGATGAGCTAATCGGAGCATGGTTAAATGCCTTACTCAAATTTAGAGGTCCTAATTCCTGCCAGGCTGACAGAGTTAAGTCTTCCTCCCCTGAGCCATTGCTGTTTCTTCAGTCTCTCCCACTATCCTGCTCCTCCCCACTTTCAAAGTCAAATTCTGTGATAAGGTTTTTCCTGGCCACCTGGGCCCACACTAGGGTTTTCTGATATCTTTTTCCACAACTGGAATAAGCAGCTCCCTGGGGAAAAACTAAGCTTTTACTTTTGTATTTCCTTCACTGTGAGACATATGAATATTGTTTTCCTTTTTACTGCCTTCAATTTGCAAGCAGTATCCTGCTTTTCCCCAAGTAAATATTTAGCACAGTGCAAACCATATGAGTACTAACTAAATAAATGGAAGCTTATATTTCTTAACCCTATAAAGCAGTGTTTTTCTAACTGTGGGTCACGCTTCATAATCAAATATGAAACCAATTTAGTGGGTCACAAATATCATTAAAGAAAAACAAATAGAATAGTTTGATGTATGTGTGGGGGGGTATTGCAATGTAAAATGTTTTCACTGTAGGTTGCAAAAACATTTGAAAGCCAGTTTTGTGCTGATGAACTTCTCCAACACAACTTTACCATTAGGTAGGCAAATACGTTTTCTCACATGATTAACATTCAACCACTCCGTTAGTCTTCCCATTCTCCACTCCCCAAAGATAATACTGGATTTATTTATTCATTCCCCTTTCCTTAACTCAAATGAAAAAGAGAAGGAATAAGTACTAAGTTTGATAAGCATATTTCACAGCTCAAGTTCCAAAGGAGCCTGTCTGTGTTCCTTCTTCAGATGGGTCATCCAAGTGTTGTGATGCACTTCGTGTGGGCTCTTGGAGCACCTGTCTCTTGACCCAAGTCTATCTGAAATTCCAGACGTCCCAAACAGGGCTTTGAAATTTTCACACCCTGCTTCATCCACACTGGTCCTAGGCTTATTAATGTATGTGTTTTTTTCAAGATCACCTTCTTTCCTGTCTTGGAGCCAGGTTCTTTATTTCCACCATAACATTACTTTCTGGTAATCCTTGATACTCTCTACAAGTTTAAATATAATTACCTATGTTCCAAGTCACTTGTATTTTCTCTTTTCCTAACCTAAGGTGGTATTCACACTGACAAAGTTGTATCCTTTTCCAGGTCTTGCATATATCTTGCATCCTCTTAATCAGCAAGTCTAATCTAGACCTAATAATGCAGTAACTGTGACCTGTCACATCTCTACTACAACCTTATCCTTTGTACTGTTACCAACCATACTCTCATTACTTTAGCTTCAACTCAGATCTCACTTCCTCCAATAACTTGCCTAAATGCCTCCAATGCAAATAGTCTCCCACTCTCCAACCCTCATTTATACTGCTCACACCTCTACAGCACCTGTCAGTCTACAAAATTTTAGAATTATTTTTGAATCTGTCTTCTGTATTAGTTTCCATGCCTGACTTTAACTCTCACGTGTATACTTCTCAGTATCCAGCAAAAATCAGAGCGCAGGTCACACAGTATTGTACTTTATCGTACTGAAAAGGGGAAAAGCTAAATCCAGTGGCTATAAAAATAGGTTAGGAGCTGCTTCTCATTTTGCACACCCTCCATACCCTGTTCAACTGCACGGTACTTTCTTTTTTAAATGAATAAAACCATGAACGTTCCAATGGGAGAACCGCGGGGAAATGGCCATAAAGGCCGCAGAAATGAAACGCGAAGGCATGCTAAAACAGCTGTGATGCTCTCTGCATTTCCACACGTGGCCCGGTAAATCGGTGCCGGAACGCCTCGCGCAGCCTGCGCCTTTCTGCTCTGTCATCCCTTTACTCTATTTCAAAACGCCCACACCGCTCCGCCGAACTTGCCTGAGCGCTCTCTCGGGGGGCCCCGGAGCCCCGAGTACCCGAGAAAACAGACCCCCCTCTTGCCTTGCTCCAGGTCCGGCCTCCACTTGCCACAGGCACCGGAATGAGAGGGGGCCACCGTCTCCCTTCAACAGTCCCAACTAAAATGGAAGCGCGTCCAGACCTGGGTACCTTTAAGCCTGGAGTCAGCCCCGGAGTCTGCAGACCGCCGTATCTCCCCATCTCAGTGTGACCTGAGCCAGGCTCTGCCTCCCCGGCGCAGTCTTGCCACAACTTCCCCACCGTCAGGTCCCATCAGCCTCCGCACACACATGCAGCCGACCCAGCAGGCCTCGGGGACGTTGGCATGTCGTTCCGGCGGTCAAGGTTCCCGAAAATGACCTGACCGCCGGGCGCTTCTATTTAAACATACCCCACACTGTCTAACTTCCTTCCTCTACACTCATCTTCCCCACCGGTCCCATGCTTCCTGAGTTTCCACCGTTCTCCAAGAAACGTGTCCACCGATCACCTCCTCCGCCTGGGGAGACTGCGTCCCGGCTCTCGACTAACCTCACTCTTTTCCTTTTCCATTCCCGGCTGGGGCGGCTCGCGTTTGGCCTCCCGCAAGCTCGAGGAGCTCCACGCTGGCCCCTCGCCCCTACTCTCCCGCCACTCCTCCCCTACTCACTTTGGGCTTCTCCGGCAATTTCTTCCGGTTCTTCTTCTTCTGCTCCTCGCTCCTGAGATTCTTCAGCACGCCTAGGTCGTCAGCGGCCGGGCCCGGCGCGGCCGCCGCCTCCTCCCGCTTGCGAGGCGGGCTCCTCCGCTTCTTGCGGGCGCCGGCGCAAGCCGCGGCCCAGCCGTAGCCGAGCAGGAAGAGCAGCAGGAGCCCGAGCGCGCCCATGCCCACCAGGATCACCCAGCCCGGGTACCGTTTCGGCTCCAGCCCCAGGTCGAGGCCCAACTCGGTGCGCAGAAAGCCTAGGCCGACCGAGAGCATTTCCTGCAGCCGGGCTGAGCCCTCCTCGGCCTGCTGGGCCACCTCGTCCAGCCAGCTCCGTGTAGCCATCTTCCCTCCCGTCAGGGGCACTCGCAGAATGACGCCGGGGCGCAGAGACGCCGTGGAACAGTCAAGGGAAGCAAGGTAAGGCCAGGCCGGACCGCCTCAGGCCGAGCGCATTGCGGCCGCCCCTCGCGCCGGAGCCGGGGATCGGCCGCTGCCGCCGCCAGGAGGACAGGGGGCTCCCAGTGCCCCCCGTCAGCCTCACTCCGCCGCCGCCAGGAGGAGGGGGGCGGCGGGAGGGAGTGTCTCCAGCGGCGGCCGCTAAGCGGCGTCTCCGCGCCAGGGCCAGGCCCCGCTGTCCTCCCTCGGCGGAACAATGGCGGCTCCGGCCGCGATCCACGCAGCGAGCGTAGACTAGGAGCAGGGCAGCGGGTCACGTGGACGCCGATGGGCGGGGCGTGGGGTGTCACGTGGGCGCGGGCGAGGCCGGGTGGGGCTGGAGCCGTTAGAGCTATCGCGCCGCGGCTGCAGTTGGCGGTGACCCTTTCGGGCCTGGTGGCGGCGCCGAGCCTTGGGGATCGGTGACTCTGGGCGGGTGGCTGGGAGGGGTTAACCGGAGGAAGTCTTTGCGGGATGGCTGGTGGCCCGGAGCTAGGAGACGTGGCGCTTTGAATGAGTCCAGGGGAGGGGCTCTCGGCGAAGCCTGGGGGTTGTGGGGTGTGGAAGAGGGCGAAGAGTGAGGAACCGGGTCACGGGGTCTGGGTCAAAATTGCCCTAGTAGCTGTCTCTTTTCTCCATTCTTTTTCTGGTAGTGGTGTCGGGGTGGAAGCGGCTTTTTCTCCCTGGGTCACCGGAAACTAGATGCTTACAGGTGGGCTCAGCCGAGTCTGAAACCGGTCACTCTTCTTTGAGCGCGTAGGTTTAGTTCACAAATTGGGTTTGTCTCTTCACGGCCAACTTACCCACCTTGCGTGTCTACCATTTGCCTGCCTGGGTAGGGCGCTTTTACGTGGTTTCTCTCCTTCGCTCTTGCTCTCGCTGGTATTAGTCGCCAGAATTCAAAAGTTGGAAAGCCCGTGGGCAGTATTCTTTTCCTACTCGTTTGTAGCTTTAATAAGAAATAAGAGGCATACTGGATTGTGTTTTACATGTAGAGGTAGATTCCTTGTTGCGTTTTATTTTTAGCTTTTGGGCAAGATCACAAAAGGAGTTTGCAAAATTCTGGGTTTTTTTTTTGCTGTGTTGACCATATCTGGGTAGCGTTGGTAAGAAATGAATTTTCAGATCTCAGTTACAAAGATGGTATTCGGGGCTGCCGTAGGGTTTTCAAGTTACATTTCCCTGTAAGGAAACTGGTGTTTTATCATTAAATGATAATTAGCATGTAAGCAAGTGTCTTAAGTGAACTAAAAACAGGCTTTCTCAAAGAATAGAAAGTAAATAATTGGTAATTATTTAATTGGTAAATAATAAAAATAAACTGCTACTCTTGCGAAGCTTTATACAGACTTATAATTAAAGGTTGTGTAAATTACAAGGCCAAAACGTAGAAGATGTCATTGGAACTACTTCATCTCTAAAAGTTTCCAAATTCCACTTATGTTTATGAAAGTAGATTTATCATTCTACATTTATGTTTTGGTTCCACAGACATGAAGGATGATGACTTTCCTAAGAAGTTCCACTGCCCATTCTAGGTTAGCACCTGTGGATTTATGAATTAAGCTATTATACAATAATAGTAGCTGGGTTTGCCTGTTCTTTTGGCAGCCTAGCAAGTATTGATTATGTAAAATCCTGTCATCTTTCTTTTTCCGTGACTCTCCTTTGATCTTAAAAATAAAATGTTTATTTTGGTAATACAGGTATAATCATTTTTCATATATAACTTTGTAGTCATCTTTTTAAGTTTTTATTTTAAGAACAAAAATGGAGTCATACACTGTTTACTGTTTTGCATTTGATATGGTCATGAACATTCATGTCACTTGATAAAGCCCACCTGATGAAGCTCACCAGGAACATACCAGTAGCCCCACAAAGTTAGGTTTATTAACTTGCAGCAGAATGAAGTTTAGGTAAAATTTAAAGGAAGGAATGCTTTGAAAGACAAAGCAAGCTGTGTCTAAAAGAGTTACTATCAGGCCTGGCCTAAGTAAACTCAGAATCCTAATTCCTTGGACATGGCAAAGTTAAGAGAAATATAAAACGTCATTTCTGAAACCTCTTTCCTGGAGGCAACTGGGTTGGGAATGAAAACTGCTTATTCTGAGAGTCAGAGTGACCCGTACAATGGAATACCACTCAGACATAAATACATGCAGCAACATAGGTGAATCTCAACATAATTACGCTGAGTGAAAGAAGGTGAAAGAAGCCAGGCAAAAAAAGAGTATGTACTGTATGACTCCATTTGTATAAAACTAGAAAGTGCAAACTAATCTATAATGACAGCAAATCAGTGGTGACTTGGGGAGGGGAGTGGGACCAAGAAGCAGTGGGAGGGAGGGGTTTAAAAGGGGCACAAGGAAACTTTGGGGAGTGATGGCTATGTTATCTTTATTATTATGGTTTTATGGGTCTGTGGGTTTTATGGGTTTATGTATGTCAAAACTTACCAAATTGTATACTTTAGATATTGTAGTTTATGTCAAATATACCTCAATAAAACAGTTCACAGAAGTTTTTTGAAAAATGACCCATGTGGAACAGCTGTGTATAGGGGTGGCATGCTCCATGCTCGCAGATAAGATTTTTTTTAATGATATTTATTTATTTATTATTTGGTCGCACCTCGCGACTTGTGGGATCTTAGTTCCCTGAAACCAGGGATCGAACCCTCGCCCTCGGCAATGAAATTACGGAGTCTTAACCACTGGACTGACGGGGAATTCCCACTGATAGGATTTTTAATAAAATTTTTACCAATCTATGATTTTAAGGTTTCTCAGCACTATATCCATTTATTTATTTATTTATTTTTGGCTGCATTGGGTCTTCCTTGCTGCGTGCGGGCTTTCTCTAGTTGCGGCGAGCGGGGGCTACTCTTTGTTGTGTTGCGCGGGCTTCTCATTACGGTGGCTTCTCTTGTTGTGGAGCATAGGCTCTAGGCACATGGGCTTCAGTAGTTGTGGCTCGCGGGCTCTAGAACACAGGCTCAGTATTTGTGGCGCACGGGTTTAATTGCTCTGCATGTGGGATCTTCCTGGACCAGGGCTTGAACCTGTGTCCCCTGCATTGTCAGTCGGATTCTTAACCACTGCACCACCAGGGAAGTCCTCAGCACTATATCCTTGATGTTAATTATCAAAAAAATTTTCTTTTTTACAGGTTTGCATAATAAATATTCACTTATTCTATGATCTGGTTCTACTGTAATTTATTTAACATAATTTATTGTTGGATAGTTAGGTTATTTACAAGTTTTTTTTGTTTTTTTGCCATTAAGTGCAATTCTGTCATGAATATGCTTGTAACTAAATAGCTTTGCGAATATCCATAGTAACTTTTTAAAATCAGTTTTATTTTATTTTTTAAAGAATTAAATAATTAATTAATTAATTTGGCTGTGCGGGTCTTAGTTGCAGCATGTGGGATCTTTCCTTGCAGTGCATGGGCTTCTCTCTAGTTGTGGCGCTCAGACCCCAGAGCACATCGGTTCAGTAGTTGCCCCACGGCATGGAGGATCTTAGTTCCCCAGCCAGGGATCGAACCTGTGTTCCGTGCATTGGAAGCCGGGTTCTTAACCACCAGACAGCCAGGGAATTCCTCATGATAAGTTCTTGAGGGTAAAATCCTGGCACTGTCATTGCCTGAGGCATAGCCCACGGTATGTGATTTAATGCTTAGTTTGGAAGTTTTAAGAGACCTGAAGAAGTTCTACCTAAGGCCTCTCACTTCATAGAAGAGAAAAAGGAAGCTTCAAAGGGTTAGGGCTCGTACCACAGTGTCAGGGTGGCTGAGCTCATAGTAGAACCCAGTCTTCCCTGTTCGTGACCCCTTGGTTGCTCCTCTTCTTCATATACTCTGTGATCAATTCTTGGGATTAGTGTGTGTTTGTTTTCTCCGACTGCTGTAACAACATTCCATAGACTAGGTAGCTTAAACAACTGAAATTTAGTTTGTCACAGTTCTAGAGGCTGGAAGTTCAAAATTGGGGGCCAGCATGGTTGGGTTGTGGTAAGGGCTCTCTTCCTGGCTTGCAGATGGCCACTATCTTGCTGTGTCCTCACATGGTGGCGAGAGAGCCAGTGAGCTCTCTAGTGTCTCTTATAAAGATGCTAATCCTCTCAGATCAGGGCCTCACCCTTACGACTTCATTTAACCTTAATTGCTTCCTTAAAGACCCTATCTGCAAATATAATCATGTTGGGGTTAGGGCTTCAACATATGAATTTGGGGGGAGGGGGACACAAACTTTCAGTCCATAACAATGCAGGAAGCTTCCATTCAAGTAGCTTAACTTTCAGGGCTGATGAAAGAAAAATGCTGATTTGGGTCTTTAAAATGGAGGCTATTGACATTATGAACTCCTGGGTCACAGGATTATATACCTAGGAGGAGGATTTTTTTTTAAAAAATTATTTTATTTTTGGCTGTGTTGGGTCTTTCTTGCTGCGCGCAGGCTTTCTCTAGTTGCGGCGAGCCGGGGCTACTCTTCATTGCAGCGCACGGGCTCTAGGCACATAGGCTTCAGTAGCTGTGGTGCGCAGGTTCAGTACTTGTGGCATATGGGCTTAGTTGCTCCGCAGCATGTGGGATCTTCCCAGACCAGGGCTTGAACCCGTGTCCCCTGCATTGGCAGGTGGCTTCTTAACAACTGCGCCACCAGGGAGGTCCTAGGAGGAGGATTTTACAGTAAAGCAGGGAATACAGTTGAGTGTGCCAAGAATTTGGAGATATGGTCAGGAAAGGGTTACCCTCAGAATAAATTTTGTAAGAATTAGTAAATAATAAAGTTCTCTGCAGATGTATGCTAAGCTGAAAGATAGTTTATGAGTGTGTTGCTGAAAGGGCCAGGATACTTCCAAGCCTCTTTAAAAGATTGGAGAATTTGCTAAGAACCTGGGTGGAACTAAAAACTGGTTGGGGCATGAGGGCAGGGGCCAGGGGAAGCAGAAAAGACGGTGAATATGGTAACAAATATGAAAGTTGTGATGTATCCATTCAGTGGAATGCTGTGCAACAATGAACATGTCCAAGGACACTCATTGCGATACCATGTATGTAAAGTTTAAAAAATAGGTTTATAGGGCTTCCCTGGTGGCGCAGTGGTTGAGGGTCCGCCTGCTGATGCAGGGGACGA